AGAATTTTTATGTGGTATATTTTTTATTAACATAAAAAAGTTTTAAGCTATCTAACTATTAAAATTATCTTAACTTTTTTTATATAATATATCATATATTATTATAATTGGGAAGCTCCTAACTTAAAAGTTGAAGTATCATTTTGTTCTTATTTTATTTCTAAATTAAATTAATATTAATATATAATTAATTTAATATTAAATTGTAACGACCTGTTTAGTCGTTTTGAGCAACAAACTTCAATTCTGGAAAAACAGGCTGAGGCGACAGACCAAACGACGATCCGTCATGGGCACGACGGACCATCGCAGGGTCTCGTTTCAAAACACTTAGAAAATCTGAAATTTGGGTACTGAAAATCGACTCTCTGAACTTCGTGACGGAATGGCAGGACGGACCGTCACAGGCGTGACGGACCGTCATAGATTGTTCAGTGGAAATTGACTCTCTAACTCTTGCGACGACCTGCAGGACGGACCGTCGCAGGCACGACGGCCCGTCACAAGTTGCGCAAATCCCAGGCAGAGTCGGATTTCTGGTGAAGTTTTAAGGGACGTTTTTGGACTATTCTTTCCTTAATTATAGATTTCGTGGGGTTATATTAATAACTAAAATTCTTGAGGGGTTAAAAGAGGTAACCCTAAGTTAATTAGTGGGGTATTATTGCCATCTTTTATTCTTAATTATATACTAATTAGGGTAAAAGAAAGAGGGTTTGAATAAAGAAAATAGAAAGAACAAGAGAGAGAGAGAGAGAAAATCGAACGAGAAGGGAGAAACAAAGCTTTGGGAAAATTCTTGCTTGATTCAACTCTTCGGTGGAGGTAGGTTATGGTTTTCATGCTATTCGTAGTAAACTCTTAATAGCGAATGATATGTGTTAGTAGTATTGTAAACCTTCTATTTGCTTAATTGTATGCTTGCATGAATGATGTGATTATGTAATTGTGAATAAATAAGCATGATGAAGCTATTGAATCCCAAATCTTGAAAAGAAACCCTAATCTACATTGTTAAGATGATGCCTTGGTATAAAAGAAGGCTTGATGAACGAAAGTGGTGAGATTAGGGGATCGGGTGCCACGTTCCGGTACCAGGATAGAATATGGATCGGGTGCCACGTTCCGGTACCAGGATAGTATATGAGGATCGGAGTGTCACGTTCCGACACCAGGATAGAATATGGATCGGGTACCACGTTCCGGTACCAGGATAGAATGAGGATCAGAGTGTCACGTTCCGACACCAGGATAGAATATGGATCGGGTGCCACGTTCCGGTACCAGGATAGTATATGAGGATCGGAGTGTCACGTTCCGACACCAGGATAGAATATGGATCGGGTGCCACGTTCCGGTACCAGGATAGAATGAGGATCGGAGTGTCACGTTCCGACACCAAGATAGTATATTGAGGAGCGGAGTGTCACGTACCGACACGAGGGGAATAAAGATAATGAATCTTGAAAGATGTTAATATATTCAATCTAATGAACCTAATTCCCAAATGAGTATGATGAGGAGGTGTGAGTCCTCATTGATGTGCTTGGTGTGGTAACCAAGGGTTATGGTAACTGTAAATGCTGCATGCTAAGGATATTAGTTGATTTTATGATATTGCTTAATACATACTGTTTTCTATTTTGAGTTGGCCGATGATATCTACTCAGTACCCGTGTTTTGTACTGACCCCTACTTTTATTGTTTCTTCTTGTTTATTTGTGGAGTGCAGCAGACGTGCCGTCATCTTCGACTCAACAGTAATTCAAGCCAGTCTTACTACAATCGAAAATTCAGGGTGAGCTAATGCTTCTAGCTTGGACTGGATCTTCTTCTTCAAGTCTTGATGCCTTGAACTTCCGGCATGGACTAGCTTCTTATGTATTTTTAGCTTCTTAGAATACTCTTAGTTTAGTAATTTGATTATAGATGTTCTTGTGATGATGACTTCCAGATTTTGGGGATAATAATAGTTATTGATTCTATTTATGAGTTTAAGTCTTCCGCATTACTTTCTGTTTATATTATATTGAAATGTTAAGGTTTAGATTGGTTGGTTTGCTCACATAGGAGGGTAAGTGTGGGTGCCAGTCGCAACCCGGTTTGGGTCGTGACATAAATAATCATATTAAACTACATGCATCTAGATAATAATTTAAGTTCTAATTATTTAAATACTAAGTAATAATTATATATATTATACTATGCTAAAAATATGAAGGTGTAAAGTCAAACTTTGAAAGACGAAATCTTTCATAGAAAATTGTTAGAAACTATTTCATAGAAAATTGTTAGAAATTACTTTTTAAAAAAAAATAAAAATTCGCTATTCTTTCTCTATAATTAGTGTGGTTAAATAGATTAAATTTGTTATCCTTTCTCTATAATTAGTATAATTAAATGTATTGAATTATTAGTAAAAACAATCAACCTTTTCTCTCCATCATGTCTAAGATCACTAACTTTTGAAAATTAATTGAAACAACTCTTCATCATTTCATCTTATCCTATAAATCTTTAGCTATATATATGTATCATGAAAAAGTAATTTTTCTTTACCAGTTGCCTCTTTTTGATGTAAACTATTAGGCAATTTTCATGTTTTTTTTGTTTTATATATTAATATTTGTTTGATCTTAATTAGAATGCTATTTTGTAACATGATTTAATCTTTATAATTTTAGATGAGTTTTTTTTGTTATGGGAGAAGGTATCATCAAGAACTCTACTCATTATATATTTCTTTTTACTATATATATATATATATATATATATATATATATATTGTTATAATTAAAGTCTTAAAAAAGATATGAATATTATATTTGTTCTTATCTGTTTAGATTTTTTTGTATTCTTTATCGATTTATACTTCTTTAATTTAATCTACTGTGAAATTATGAATGTTATAACTCTATATTATTAATGCTGAAATTACTAATTTATGACTTTTATATTTGTTTTTAAAGGTACTTTTATAATCCTTTTTTCTTTTATCCTTTCCTTACTGATAGAGTTTCTTTAAGTTTTTTTGTGCTTACTATATGAAGCGTAATGAGAGATTGTTAAGGATAGATCATATTGATATATTCATATAATTAGATGCTATACTAGTATTATTATTTTTCAAATTTAATTTAATGAATAAAATACAAATTGGTAAAATTAATATTTTTCAATATTTTCTATATAATAATTCAACTTTATAATAATTGTATTGGATAAACGTACAACACACATTCGAGGAACTAGTTACCATATAAGTTAGAGGTTATACACTATTTAAGAGTTATTCTAATATAATGCAAAATATTTATTGACCAAATTTTGAATTTAATAATTTTTTACAAATTACATGCAAATTCACTTGAATTTATCTCTCTCACACACACACAAATATATATATATATATATATATATATATATATATATAACAAATTACATATAATTTCTCCAAATTTTCTTACTTATTTTTAGGTAATGCTCATGTTGGGAAATTAGGTCTTAGGCCTAAGTCACATCCTAAAAGGAGGAGGATTGACCAAGCTTTATAAGGAGTCCACACATCTCATTAATTATCGATGTGAAACTTTTGTCATTTTTTAACACTCCACCTTACGCTCAGTGCTTTGCATCTGGTGCGTGAGCAATTTTGATTTTGGGGGCTCCAATATCGGGTGAGACGAGCCCTGCTCTGATATCATGTGAAATTAGGTCTTAGACCTAACTCACACTAAAAAAACTAGCTCAAAGGGAGAAGGATTGACCAAGCCACGTAAGGAGTTTACCCCATCTCATTAATCAGTGATGTAAGACTTTTACCATTCTTTAACACATGTAAATCACAATTTTTTTTAATTAAAAACTTGTGTGTATCTAAGTAATTAACTCTTAAAAAACATTTAAAAAAATATCTTCTAGTTCTTCTTATTTAAATTTTTTACACGATAGTGTTTAAAATCATAAAATATTTTAATGACAGTTTTATCCTTTTTAAAAAAATAATTTTTTTTGATATAAAGTAAAAAATGAAATGCTTAGGAAATCGAGAAAATGAGTACGGGTTGCTTTTGGTTGGATGTTGATTCACTGTCCGCAATCCTGGAACAGCTCATCCACCTCATATTTCTCTTCTGCTTTGCTGCCATCTGTCCTTTTCCATCTTCCACTTTCTCCCTTTTCTAATTTAATAACCAAAATGTCCCACCTGAAAATTCAAATCTGAAAATTCAAATGTTTTCTCCATCTAATTTGAAGCCATCATCTCATACTTATAATTAAGTAACATACAAATTAAGAGCTACGCTTTTAACTTCGATCAAAAAATACTCAATATTTAATAATCTTCCTACTCAAGTCAAAGGTTATATGTTAGTATCAAAATCAGATGCACGCTTCTTATATTTTGGATGACATATTTCTAATAATCTAAATAAAAAACTGTAAAAATGAATAAATCGTTAAATTCATCCTCAGTTCAGGTGATAAGTAGTAATGTACAAAGAATTTGAAATCACTTATAATTATCGATTAGTGATATACTATCTCACTATATGAGCTAGGGATGGCTGAAATTGTTGCCTTCAAATATCGAAAGCAAATTCCCTCTTGCCAGAAATTATGCTGTGCATATCAAAATATATTAAAGATTGACATTTCTATTCTTCAGGGAAGAAATCAGCAGCTCAAATGTACTTTACCACAATTTTGAATGTGAGTTTAATTCTAAAAATGAAAGAATAAAATAATAGATGGATGATTAAGGTTCATCCACAATTTTGTTAAAAAAGGAAAAAATAGTAAGTGGGGCAACAATAGTGTAATTTTTATGAAAGTTAGGACGAAAAAAAGCCTATTCTCTCCCAATGGCTAAAATGTTTTAGCACCTAAAAGATGAGTCCCTCCACAAACTGAACTTGTGGCTGTAGTGCATTTTCTTCCACTTTCACTCTCACGCACACATTTCCTTAAATTGCCCTTCCCCTTTAACTGCCATCACCCTCTCTGAGAGAGAGTCTAAATTGGTCATCTCCACAATCAATGGCTGCCGCCGCCAGAATCTCCGCCTCCTCTACCTCACGAACTTTTTATTTCCGTCATTCACCGTTTCTTGGCCCAAAACCTACTTCGACAACCTCACATGTTTCTCCAATCTCTCCTTTTTCTCTTAATCTAGGCCCAATTTTGAGGTCTAGAAGAAAACCCAGTTTCACTGTTTGCTTTGTTCTCGAGGATGAGAAGCTGAAACCTCAATTTGACGATGAGGCTGAGGATTTTGAAAAGAAGATTGAGGAACAGATCTTAGCTACTCGCTTGGCGGAGAAACTGGCTAGGAAGAAATCGGAGAGGTTTACTTATCTTGTGGCTGCTATAATGTCTAGTTTTGGGATTACTTCTATGGCTGTTATGGCTGTTTATTACAGATTTTCGTGGCAAATGGAGGTACATGAATTCGCACTTTACTCTTCTTTTCGAGACTTACTTGTTACTGATTTTATTTTTGGGTTTGGGTATAGGGAGGAGAAGTTCCTGTAACCGAAATGTTGGGTACATTTGCTCTCTCTGTTGGTGCTGCTGTAAGTTCCTTTTGCTATCTTCATTGTGCGCTAGAAATAGCACAACTGATTTTGAAAGTGTTTGAATTTGCAATTTCAGGTAGGAATGGAGTTTTGGGCGAGATGGGCACACAAAGCACTGTGGCATGCTTCACTATGGCACATGCATGAGGTTTGTGTGCTGCGATTAAGTCAAATGCTTTATTTCAATTCTTGGGGTAAATAACTTCATATATGGTTGCAGTCACACCACAAACCAAGAGAAGGACCTTTTGAGCTGAACGACGTTTTCGCCATAACAAACGCTGTTCCAGCAATAGCCCTCCTCAACTATGGTTTCTTCCATAAAGGCCTCATTGCCGGACTATGCTTCGGTGCTGTATGTTCTCATTGAACTTTCTTTCTTTAGTTAACTATGGTTTCCATCAAACGTATTTAAAATAACTAATGAACTCATGTTCCATTGAGTTACAATCAATTAGTTCAATGGAACATGTAATTGATCTTGCTCGATTAAGATTAGTGTGTCTATCTATGTATTGATCTTAAGTCCAACATGTTAAATTTTGATGAAATGATCTCCGGTTATGCAGGGGCTAGGGATCACAGTATTTGGAATGGCATACATGTTTGTTCACGATGGTTTGGTTCACAAGAGATTCCCAGTTGGACCTGTAGCCAATGTACCTTATCTTAGGAAGGTGGCTGCTGCTCATTCGGTAATTCAATCACACTTAGCGCGACTGTGAAGTAGTACGATTAATGTTAGATTGGCTGGTAGTTTTCTAATGATTTTTGAATTTGCAGCTTCATCACTCAGAGAAGTTCAATGGTGTCCCATATGGCTTGTTCTTCGGACCTAAGGTGCCTTTACTCTGAGATCCTTTATGTTAATAACAACTTTAAAGTTACACATAACATTGTTTCTAATGTAAACATAAGTGGAAATACTATTAATGCAGGAACTGGAAGAAGTAGGAGGGACGGAAGAGTTGGAAAAGGAAGTGATACGAAGGACGAGACTTTCGAAAGGATCATGAACGATTGTTCATAAACATAGAATGTCATTTTACACTTCTTATCAATGAGGAAGGGTGATTTTTGATGTATTTGATAGTAGAGAAAAATGTAGCTCTCTTGATGAAATGAATTTGTATTTATGTAGGCTCTTCTTATTCAGTAAGATTTTTTCTTTTTTTTGATTGTATTGGTATTTTATGTTTATATTATATAGGATTAGAAGCTACACATCTGCCGTCTCTCTCTAACCCTCTATTTTATTACAAAGTCCCAAGGCTAAAAAGAAAAAGGGGATGTTTGATGTTCTCTGCAGAATTGATATTTCAATAAACGTAAAAATTAACTTGTCATGTAATTAAATTTTAGCGTCAAATCAAGAAATAGAATGATCAAGTTAGGTGAATCTAAATTAATTGAACTCGATAGTTGGAATAGCAAAATTGAGATAGAGAAAGAGTGAGAATAACTAATTGAGTCAAATTTTTTAATTGAATTTGACGTGTGTTATTGGTTCGTCATTAGAAATTGGTGGAGCTTGCAATTATTGAACGTGCTTCATTTGGCGTAGGGGTGGCAAAATCGAATACTAACTCACCTAACTGGTTTAAGTTAGGTGATTTGTTTGATTCAGCCATTCATTAGCTCAATATATTCCATTTCAATTCATTAAAATTGCGTTGATATGTAATCTGAATTAACTCATGAAAATATTTTATCAAAATATTTTTTTAAAAAAACTTTTTTTCAATTTGATATGTCGTTTATAGCAATAATGAACAAAAATTCTTTTACTGGGAACTAAAATAGTTTTAAAAAACAAATAAAACAATTAAGCGTAGTAAAAATTGAGTTGACTTGAGTCTTGACCCATAATATAATTCATTACCTAACTCATTTTAGCGCAAACAATTTTGGGTTAGGTTAGGTTAAGTTAAGTCTTGATCTGATTGTTATATTAATTTATTTTGACTCGATCAAATTTGATTTAACCCACCCAATTGTCACCCCTATCGAGGTGTCACTTGCAATTTGCGTGTGGGATTTGATGATAACTAGCTTATTAGAGTTTGGTCATTACACGTACTTTAACTACAACGAATTTCTATTTATCTTCTCACTATTAGGTGTAATTTTTGTTGATAAGACACACTAGACTTGTCATTCCTTCATGCGATGGTATGTCTTTTTCTTTTTAAAGGTATCATTTTGGTGCAAAAGGCTTTAGAAAATAAATATCTACATCAAAATCATATAATGGCGCTGGCAAAGTTTATGTTTGATATTGGTTTAAGTGTAACATCACTTATGTAGCATTTTTATCAATTGCCTTAAAATGGGGAATCTTAAAGATACACTAATTTTCTGGATTTCTCTCCTAACATCTCACTCACCATCTCCATTTAAAATTAAGCTATTTCAAAAACTTTTCATGTGGCCCATTCAAATTTATTTTTTATAAAAAGTTATATTATATTGGTATTTTTTTTTTATGTATACGATATACATATATGTGGATTATGAATTCTCCGAGACTAGAAATTGACTTAATTATTTAAGAAATTCAATTCACCTTGAGATTTCAAGTGCGAATTTTGTATACTATGATTTCAATTTTTCAACTTCCTTATTGGATCTATTATAAAAAAAACAACCAAAAACATCATACCATGTGTATGTCATGATCCTATCATTAATATTATTTTAATCTTTCTTGAACAGTAATCCGCACGATGTTAAAACTCAAAGCATGACAACTGACTAAAACTTTTGGTAAGCAGTTAAGAATTTTTTTTTAAAAAAAATAAAAAAAGAAAAGAAAGAAGAAAAGAATTTGGCTTTGCCAAAAAGGTTGGAAAATAAATGGAGCAAGTATTACTTAGTATAATGTTTGATATGGTATCCTCCTCATTTCTCCATTATCTAACCAACAAGTGCCAAATACAACAACAACCTATGACAAATACTTTACAATATTTATTATTTATTAGTTCCATGACTCTAGCTTGTTACCAAAAAGTAGAATAAAATTAAAGAACTTTTGACACCAACAAAGGCCGTTTTCACATTTAAACCTTCTCATTCCATCCAATGACATTATTTGTTGAAAAACAAGGATTATTTAACTATTTTTGGAGTTGACTCATTAGCATAATAATCTGCCAATCATCTAAAACTACGTGTTCATGTATTAACTATCATCTATGACGAGCTAATTCTTAAAAAAGATAGTAACACTTTTTAAATAGACACTACGATTTCACAATGGTGTAAAAGGTAAACATCATGTTTTTGAATAATGATGTTTTGCGGTGAATGAAGAGATGATTGTATTCAAACTATATCTTTAATATCATCGTTGTATGCTTGATGAGTATATATTGAATATATAATAAACTATGCACATTATATACAATGATAATGGGAGGAAAAAATTACACAAGTGCATATACTATATATATGTAATGTATAATTAATTAATATTCAATATATTATAATGATCGTTTTTTTGTGTTATTGTGAAGTTTTTCTGTTGAGAACCTCCATTAATGGGAGTGAAGGAGCTTTAGAGAGTATTTGGGAGAATGAAAAAGAATATTTCATTCAATCTGTATGTGGATATATATACAAAAAGATGAGAAGAAAAATAACTAACTAAGATTCTTTCTCTAACTAACTTGTAACCAATTTTCTAACTAACATTTGTAACTAACTTTTTGTAACTAACTACAACAACTAACTAATTTATTTACATTGCTTATTTACATGATCTCAACACTCCCCCTCAAGCTGAGAATTGAAAAATATATTTTTCATTCCAAGCTTGTCAATCAACAGATCATGTTGAGGTTTGCACAATCCTTTAGTGAGTATGTCAGCTTGCTGCTCTTTAGTTCCTATGTGTTGAGTTTGAATAAGTCCATTCATGATCTTTTCCCATACAAAATGACAATCTATATCAAAGTGTTTTGTCCGTTCATGGAAGATAGGATGGATTGCTATTTGAATGGCAGCTTTACTATCACAAAATAGTTGAATAGGTAGCTTAACTTCTACTCCCAACTCTTTGAACAACCCTTTCAGCCAGATTATTTCAGCAACTGTGGTGGCCATGCTTCTGAACTCTGCTTCTGCAGAACTTCTTGAGACTATATTCTGTTTCTTTGCTTTCCAAGACACTAAAGCACTTCCCAGCTTGACTATGTAGCCAGTCACTGATTTCCTGGATTCTATACATGCTCCCCAATCTGAGTCACAATAAGCTACAAGCTCAGACATGTTATTGCTTGGCATAAACAAACCAAGACCTGCTGTACCTTTTATGTATCTCACAACTCTAAGTGCTGCTTCCATATGAGAGTTTTTTGGTGAGTGCATATATTGACTAAGTACTTGAACTACAAAGGCAATATCAGGCCTAATCATAGTAAAGTACAATAGTTTGCCTATCAACCTTTGATACTTTCCATAATCCTCAAGACTTTTATCTTCTGCATTCATTCCTGTGCATTTATCAAACACAGTGGATGTCAGCTTGTGATTGAACTCTAAGGGAGTAGATGCAGGTTTACACCCTGCAAGTCCAAGCTCAGATATAAGTCCAAGTGCATATTTTCTCTGATTCATAAGAATACCATCTGCATTTCTGGAAAACTCAATTCCAAGAAAATATTTCAGCTCTCCAAGATCCTTCATTTTGAACCTGTACTGCAAGTCTTTTCTAACTTGTTGTATCAGCTTTAAGCTGCTCCCAGTGATCAAAAGATCATCTACATATACAAGTATGACAAGAAGTTCTTTCCCTACTTTCTTTGTAAACATTGAATAGTCATAATGAGATTGCAAGAACCCCATATCAACCAGTGCTTCAGTAAGTTTTAGATTCCATTGTCTAGGGGCTTGTTTTTGTCCATACAATGACTTGTGAAGCTTGCAAACCATGTGTTTCTCCCCCTGGTTTGCAAAACCCTTAGGAATATGCATGTAGAAATCTTCAAGAAGATCACCTTGGAGAAAGGCATTATGAACATCCATTTGAAATATATACCAACCACAAGAAGCAGCAAGAGCAATAACAGACCTAACAGTAACCATTTTTGCAACAGGAGAGAAAGTCTCAGTGAAGTCTAGGCCTTCTTGTTGACTGTATCCCTTAGCAACAAGCCTTGCCTTGTATCTCTCAACCTCCCCTGAAGCCTTGTATTTAATCTTGAACACCCACTTACAACCAATAGCAACTTTATCAATTGGAAGTGAGACAATAGACCAAGTATCATTATTCTCAAGTGCAGCAATTTCATCCTGCATAGCAGCCACCCAAAGAGGATCTTGACAGGCTTCTGAGTAGGTATGAGGTTCTGAGGTAGCAGAATAGGCAGCAAGAGAAGCTCTATAGGTAGAAGACAAAGCTTTATATGAAACATAGTGAGAAATAGGATATAGAGATGCATTCTTTGTTGTTGGAGTAATATAAGAATCTAACCAAACAGGAGGCTTAGACTGCCTAGATGATCTTCTAGGATGAGTAACAGATTGAACCACATCTCTACTAGATGGAAGAACCTGAGAAGAAGAAGTGGAACTAGAAGTAGGTAATTCAGAATCAAGATCACTAAGAAGATCAAGAACAGGAAACAAAGACTCAGGAGAAGATTTAAGATCTTTGAAAGGAAAAATATCCTCTTTGAATACAGTGTCTCTACTTACAAAAATTTTTTTAGAACTAAGATCATATAAGATATATCCTTTCTGAGTAGAAGAATAACCCATATGAACAGCAGGAATAGCTCTAGGAGCAAATTTATCAAGTCTTTTTGGATCAGTGGCATAACATAAAGAACCAAGAACTCTTACATGATCAAGAGAAGGAACCTGACCATATAACACCTCATATGAAGATTTGGCTTTGTGTAATTTTGTAGGTAATCTATTAAGAATGTACACTGCTGCAGACACACACATACCCCAGAATCTAATAGGAATACAGGCCTGAAATCTTAAGGCTCTAGCCATGTCAAGAATAGATCTATGTTTCCTCTCAACTACACCATTCTGTTGAGGAGAATGAACACATGAACTTTGATGCATAATCCCATGCTCTCTGAACAAAGCATCTACCGTGGGAATTGAAAAATTCTGTTCCATTTTCTGATCTTACACACTTGACAGAGATCTCAAATTGTGTT